CCCAAGGGGTCATAAAGAAGTGGCCGGGGCTAGTGATGTTAATGTGAGACATTAGCATGTAACCACGGCTAGTTGATTCGCAGGCCCCACGTGGTGGTGGAGTGAAGTGCGGCACTCCCACCTCTCTGCCAAGACGTGAGGCCAGCGTGCAGGAGTGGGCCCCCAATCCACCCTCCAGAGGGGGGCCCTCGAGCTCCCGCTCGTGGAGGAGGCCCTGGCAGCAGTAATGTGAGCAAGAATTTGCGGTGCTGCACCCTTTTAAAAACAATACGTTGAGAGATTCTGCCCACAATTTATTGCCGTGCATTGGTGGCAAATTTCCCTCCGGTGGCAATTTGTTAAAATTGACTTTAAGCGAATTGCGACTTGGCAGAATGGATTGGGGTTTCTGTGCATGTTATGAACGTTAGTGCAGAGGTTGGAGTCATAATAGGCCCCTGCTGCTGTCGGTTACCTTTTGGAGTGAGGCGAATTTACAATCGCTTACTGGCACTTTGCTGGATAACATTCAGCAATGCTTCCACACGAGGTTCTGTTTTATTCTATGCAATGTGCGATGCTCGGTTTGTCGTCACAAGAAGGTCTCCCTTACGGCTATTTCAAAGTCGCTCCAGTGTGTGTTCACCTTGTGTGCACACACCGCCGTTGCTATTTTGTGAAATCTGGTGGTTTTCGTGCCGCAATCAAGGGCTGGTTATTTCCGTGGGTGAATTTGCCTATCTGCAACGCGGTCCCATCGATCGCGGCATGGGAATGGGTCGTTGCAGCCCCGGCCCAGAAAAAACACCACGAGGACAAAATCGGGGGGGGGGGGGGGGGGGGTGGAATTGCAGCCCCGTTACGGACATGTCGTCTAAGCCTTTAAAGACCCATCGGCGTTCTCCTGTCAACAACCCGAAATGCGGAAATGGTTTCGGGAAAATGCGTGCAAACGCCGGAAATAAACAAGTATAAAAAAGTACATTTTCTAAACAAAGCCAGACTAAATAAATGCGACCGGTGCACGCTGTGCACGGGAAGTGTGAGGCAATATGGGGGCAGGTTAAAGGGCTGCGTGGTGGCCCTGTGCAGGATGCAGCTGCCAGGCCCCTGCCGGCGATAACTCTCCGTGATAGGAGGACAGCAGAGTTCTCTGATACAGCTGATCGCTTGGATTAAGCCTTTCGCGTTCCGAGGCTTCTGCTGCTTTAGCAGGGTGGGTCCAGTTCACCGCAAGCGGTTAGCATGAATGTTATTTATAGAGACGGAGTAGCGCCGTTGTTTTAAAGGCATTGTACTCACTGCAGAGAACCGTAGGGACACGAGCGCACTCTATGATACCTGGCGCCAAACCGTGACACACTCCCTGCCGCATGGCCTTGTGGGAGCCTCGGTACTTCTTCCAACCTGAAGACGCACCAATGAAGCTATTTTAATCTTGATTTGAAGCGTTCGTGACTGCAGGAATCCATACTCTTTGGTTTTTTCGGTAAAGTTACGTAGGTAGAAAAATCAAATAAAAATTTAAATATCACGACATTTCGATCGCAACACAAGCGGTCGTCCTCGGGTGGGAAAAAAATCCAGCAGTGGAACTGCTGAACCAGGAAGAAAACGCGATTCTCCCCCTGGTTCAGCAGCTCCACTGCGTCATCGGAATGGGAAAAGGGTTACTTTGCCGTTCCATTTGCCACGGGGCACGGTCATCGCAACACCTTAAATTGCCCACTGCACAGCCGAGTCGAATGTCGAGCAGCGTTTCATTCTTCCCCGACGCGTTTTTTTCGGGTTGTGCCGCGGCATTGTCGTTTTTCCGCACGATGTCCGACGTTTCGCTGCATGCGCCGGGAAGCTTGAGCGGCCCGTGTTCTCCCGCCGATTCGGTGCTCGGGTTGCTTGAAGGGGGGCACCGTTGTTGCCAGATTCAAAGTGGGTTCCCACGGTAATGAGATGTTAACTACCTTGCCTCGTAAGCAGGAGGTTGTGGGCTCGACCCTGACGTCTGCAATATATTTGGAGTTTGCATGTTCTCCCTGTGGTCGCGTGGATTTTCTTCGGCTCCTCCGCTTTTTCCCTCCACATTTTAGAAACGTTAAAGTTTTTTTGTCTGCTGTTATCAATTCCCACGTGATGATGAGCCACTTCGTCGAGCTATCGGTTGTGATAGCCAGGTCGCTTCTGAAAAAGAGCTGCATAGCTCAGGGGGCCTTTCCTGGTAAAATAAAAAATAGTTTCCGTGTTTAGTTTAAAGTGGCCGCTGGCTCAGTGCTCCGAAACAAGGAAGTATTCTTCTCGGTGACCCAGCCATCTAATTTGCCGCCATTCTAAAATAGGCCACCGCCGTTCATCCTGTCTGGATGTTTAGCGTTTCCACAACATGATGTGAGTGGGAACTACTTCGTTATCAGACAATGTGAGACCGAGCGTCACCTGTGGGGAGAGGGGGGGGGGGGCACTTCCAATGCTTGCGAGATAAACCCGTGCTCTCGAAGCGAAACAATCGTGAAATACCGCGTGGGGTGTTCAAGGAAGTTGAACTTGGCTTCTCGTAAATATTTGCCACTTCGGAGCGAAGCTGTACAGTTATCTCGAGGTCAAGAGGTCATACTGCCAATTGTGAAAATTCCAATTCCATACGGCCGTGTTATCACACTTGTCTAGCATGGTCTGTATTACTGGCTACCTGCTTCTCACCCGTTTGCTACAGAGGCTGTGTGTTCCGTTGGCCCATCCTTGCTTGGATGTCACTGTTAACCCCTCTGTTTTCATGCCGCCTTTCTGCATTGCAGCAAATCTTACGTGGAAGCCAGCCATGAATCCTTGGCGGGAGGACCCTGGTTCCACTAACCATCTGACTAAAGCCACCGTGCTGGACCCTGAGCGGATTTGTACAGACTGTTTAATCTGGGCACTGTGTGCCAGAATGGGAGCACTTTAGCAGAGCTTGTATCACTACCGAGTGGTGCTGGTGCTCATTGTCCTGGCTCCAAGGACAATGAGCAGCTTAATATTGTGATGGTCCTTGCTTTCCCCCCGTACACTCGCTACAAGCCTCCACAATGCCACGCGGTGATGAATCTTTATTTTGGGCTGGCTTGGCGCACCACAAGTCTCCCTGGTTTAATTTTTTTCAATTCGTGGCCTGAAGCCTTCTTAACTGACACCTATTGTTAAGACACACAGTGACTTTGTGTTTCCCGTTGTTATTAAAGATGGAATTTCGATCTCTTTTTGTCTACCGGGCACAATGGCCGTTAAACCCATAGCATTAGATTGTGTTTAGAAAGCAAAGTATAGGGTAAATAAATAAATAAACTCTGCGCATTTGTCAATAACACCTGTGCGTGTGACCTTAAATGTGACCCTTCGTAGCGAATAAATCATCATCGAGACGAGCTCACGAGCGATCGAGTTGGCGAGCTGAAAAGCCAGTCCATGAGGGAAACCCACTCTGCGCTCCTAATTTGGTGGACTTGCGCGAGAATTTTGCGCGTACGTGGAAATGCGCGGACGCGCACTCCGCTCTCCACGTACGTGTTTACCCGCGCGCGCGCGCTAATCTCGGTGGTAAACGGGTGCAACGTTGTTCAGTGATTCGCACGGGGGTGGTGTTTTTGTGGGTTGTGTTTTTTTTTCTCATTGCCCATCTTGCCACAAAATGTACACAGATGTGGGCAGTGACATTAGTGGAAAGTTTCTGAGTGACCGGTTGAGAGATTTTGTCGCTTTTAATCACAACTCGTGTAACGACTTCAGACCGAGCCGATGGACCTGATAGCCCTCGGCATAGCAGTAGCAGCCTCTTGGCAGCAGAGACGAAGAACGTTGTGGAGTGGAAATTCGAATGTGGGAGAAGTGCTCCATCTACCCTGCCTATTCCGTTCACTGCTGTGGTTACGCTGGCAGAGATGATGCAGTGAGTACGGGAGCCTTTGCCTAAGGCTAAGGCGTGTGCACGCACGCGTGTGTGTATCTGTGGCTTTCATAGGTGCTCGCAAATAGCACTTGTCTCAACAGCCTGTTAAAGGCAATACGGGGGTGCATCTGCCAGTCATCTCACTCGGTCAACCCGTGGCATCTGGGTCTATTCCGTGACCACCTGTCAGCGACCGTTTGACACTTCACGTGGCCTTAAAGTGTACACGGCATGGCACAAGCGCCCTGGCGACGTCACCACCTCTTAGTGGCAAATGGAGGCTGTTGCTGAAGCTGCTGCTGCTGATGTTTTTGTTGCTGCGTATGTGAGCATCACGGCTGTCATGCGTTACGTGGTGCTGTGCGCACGTGTGTTCGCCCCGAGACGCCGTGGATGTTACCCGCCGGAAGTTCGTTTGTCGTAAACGTGCCCTACACGGTCGGCGCGCTGGTACCGCGAGCGTCGTGGAGGTTTGTCTGGAGCTTCTTCTTTGCTAAGTTTTACCCACCTGCTGCTGCTGCTGGGTCGTGGATGTGCAATATGGGGGGAGGGGGGGGGAGCTGAGCCCCCCAATCAAACAACGCTGGTACAATACCCAGCAACGCCAGTGGAGATTTTATTTGAAGTTCACCTTTTGTCGGCAAAACGGTAACCTCTGAAGTGGGCGGCAGATGAAAGCGGATTTGTATCCGTTGGCTCATCATGTTCGGCGTTTAACGCTTGTTCACAGTCGCCGTGTCGTGCCGCCTACCCCTTCCCCATGGGATTTGGGTTAACGAGGTCGAGGTCCTGATGGACAGTGTCAACGCTGCTGTTAACGATGGTCTTTCACCCCTTTCTGGCAATACAACAGGACGCGTGAAGATGTTCAAAAGCCAAATGAGATGCCTTTTGCAAGGAATCGAGTTTGCATTAAGCACACGCACTTGCTGCGGCAAAACATGCGAACACATGCCCTGCTAATTTACACATTGTGTTTGAAGTGTCCACCTGCTTGTGTTTGCACCTAACGGACGAACCGGGGTGTGTGTGTGCGTGTGTGTGCGCGTGTGTGCGCGTGTGTGTGCGTGTGCGCGTGTGCTCGACACTGCGTGTTGCCACGCAGCCCCAGAACATCCTGCTCACGAGCACCGACCCGCTGGGAGACATCCGCATCGTCGACTTCGGGCTGTCCCGGCGCGTGAGCAGCGCCGATGAGCTACGTGAGATCATGGGCACCCCGGAGTACGTGGGTACGTGGCCCATCCCGCACGCGCGCACACACACACACGTGCACAAAGACAAAGATCCCCCGTGTAGGCTTAACTGACTGTTGGGGCAAGTGCCGTGAGCGAGTGGCACCTATGAAAGTCGGCATGGCACATGAGGGGAGTGGGTGGCCAGCATCATGCTGGACCGCCTTTTTCTCCCCAGTGGCGATGTTTACACACTGCACCAGGTACTCATTTGAGGCTGAGTCGACCTCGGAAAGGCCAAGGGACCAGTTCAGAAAATCATCACCGGTGTTGGCCGTGAGCGGGAATCGAACTCTGGTTGCCGGGTTCGTAGCGAAACTCGCTAACCCCGCCACACTACCGCTCCACGCGCACAGAGGGCCCATTTACCGTCGCACACCACAGTCGCACACTCAACGAGCGTTTAATGAGCGCTTATTTGGGGACGTTGCTGTGGTACTGCCGCGGTGTAACGGTCAGCGCACCGGACTGGCAAGCCAGAGGTCGCCGGCTCTTAATTTGACGGTGCAAGTTTTCTTAAATTCGCCTGCCTGTTTCGCTGAAACTTCCTAATTGTTTTTAAAGATTACACCGCAAATTACTGAATTGGGATCACACACAGCAGCGTGGCACTCTACTGCAAAAACTGCTGCATATTGCCTGTGAAACACACCACCCTTCGTGAGAGCCATGCACAGTAAGAATGATAGCACCAACACCGAATGTACACAATTATTATTGATTTGAGGCTTTCGTGACTGCAGAAATGACTCCTTGGTTCTCTTGGTGAAGTCGCGCAGAATGAAAATAAATCAAGTAATCATTATGATTGAATGCACGTACATTGAACTTCTTTCGCACCGTGCGTAGCCAACCGTGCGAATCGGAGGTGCGGGGGAAGGACAATGAACCCAGTGCAAAAAGCAGCTCGAAAGAAATTAAGTTTGATGGTTGAACATTGCCAAGGGGTTCTTATCCGTGCTATTTGAAAAGGAATTGGGTATTCTGCTTGTCAAGTTAAATAACTATATGCATTATATTCACGTTTACCAGCATTGTGCAGACCTCCTAAGCATGATGCGTAAAGGGGAGCGCCTAGTGGAGCAGGGGCTGGCAGAAAGGAGATGCAGGTGGTTGCTGATTGGAACGGATCGTCGTCATCGCGCCTAATTTTAACCACAGCTGTTGATAGAAAATCTGAATTTTTTTTTTTACTTCTCCAACAGCTCCAGAAATTCTGAGCTATGAGCCAATCAGCACCGCGGCGGACATGTGGTGAGTGCCTCGCCGCACCGCATCGCACGCGCGCTTGCACGCTCTCGATTTACGTTCTGCGTCCGCGTTACGTCGCCGGAGATCGTGGTGCGTAGCAGGGGATTTGGCCTGCCCCGCTGAAACCTACAGCTGCTCTCCCCCCTCCTTGCATAATCCATGCTCACAGGTGTCGTTGCATTGTTTCATCTGACCACGGTTTAATTGCAATACCAATGCAGTATGGGCGGCAGGGTGGCGCGGTAGTAATACACTCGCCCCTCGCTGCAAGAATGGCCTGGGTTTGATTCTCGACATGGGCCCCTTTCTGTGTGGAGTCTGTACGTTCTCCCCCTGCTGTGCCTGAGTTTCCTCTGGGTTCTCCAGTTTCCTCCCATAGCCAAGTAACGTAAAATGTTACTGGTGTTGGCCAAAAATCCTCATGCTAAAAATGACCTGCAAATCGCTCGATTGGGGATTGCACAATGGCAACAGCATCAATCCCTGACTCTGAAACTCGTGCAGACTGCCATCTGTGCAACACGGCCGCACCTTGCTTCGTGATCGCGTTGCGCCATAAAAATGTCACGAACACCAGCGGTCGAAAATTATTGTAGGAATAATAAGAATAGGTTTTTCCCTTTTCTCCGAAATAAAATAGGTGTGATTTTAAAACGCCGAATAGACACCTTTTGCAAGGAATCATAGATATTATTATACCATCAAGGACGATGTATGCGTGTTGAACTTCTTTCGCACCGTGTGTAGCCAACCGTGCTAATCAGAAGTGCCGGGGAAGGACAACAAACTAAACACAAAAAGCAGTTCTAAAGATACGAGTTTTCAATGTATATAATATAAAAGTGCATAGCTTCCAGTGGATTCCTAATATCGGAAGGAAGGGCGTTCCAGACGACCACAGAAGTGTATCTGACTAGGGCATCCTTAATTTCCACACTGGTAATTTTGGTAACAAATAAAAAAAAACATGTAATAATGGCCAAGGTAAAGTCTCCACACGGAAGAGGCTTGACCGATTTGGGAGTACAGTTCACATGACCAGCGTCCCTAAAGTGCAGAGAAATCCGACATTAAAGCGATGACAAAAACCCCCTGGGCAGTATCACAGAATCGCCCATGCGGGGGCCTTGCCACCACCTGATCTCTCCCACGTGTATCTGTGTGGGAGGAACCGGGCAAACATTGGGTTTGCCACGATCCAAGAGCCTTTTGTGTCAAGACGGTGCCCCCCCCACCTCACTTGGGGATTAGAGTTCTGCAAGAGTGTCCGATGCCGGGATTTCCTTCAAGGATCTGTCTCGCACAAACCAATCAGATTATAGGATTGAGCGTGGCTTTGCGAGTGGATTACTCTGCACTCGTCTGCCGGACAGGCACCGCGAGGCTGGGGAACGTTTCACCTTGGTGCTGGCTGCCACTGCCACCGTGGGTGAGACTGATGAACCTGACGGATTTGAGAATCTGCGGTTCATCTGGGGTTGTGAGACTTGAGCTGCATTAGCAGCTGTCTGCGGTGTGGGCAGGGAGCCGATAGAAGCATCACATAAGTATGAAAAATAATGTTTCTTTACAGACGTGCATGTGTGTGTACGTGGCATATTACGATTCCTCGCTATAAAACGCTACGCTGATGACGCATGCCTTGAATCGTACGAGAATGAATATTTTACGGTGTGTTTATGTGAAATTATATTAGTTCGCATAAACCCTGTAACCAGAAGAGATTCAACAAGCGCCACATTGGGAATAAAATATCGGGTCATGGCCCTGGAATATTAACAAATCACCATCATCTCTTGGAAGGGAGGATGGTGGGGGGGGGGGAGTCTTAAATCATTGCAATCATCACGGACGCCATCAGTTTAAGACTACAGGTTCCCTTCCATCTATGCCACTTTGGTTAGTGCTATTTCGCGATGTATATTCGGCAAACCTATTTCTACCCAGAATTTGTTCCACTCTGTGGTTTGAATTCACCTCGGATGCAGCTATGCAGTAGGACGTGGGACAACATTGTGTGAACTGTGTGTGTGTGCTGTGTATGCTGTGTGTACTGTGTGAACTGTGTGTGCGTACTGTGTATACTGTGTACGGTGTGTGTGTACTGTGTATACTGTATTCTTTTGGTCTTTCGGTAAAGCCACGTAGATAGATCAAACAATACAAAATAATACAAATATATATGTAATAAATAATACCAATATCACGACGTTTCGATCGCAACACAAGCAATCGTCATCAGGTGAGAAATATCGCGGGAGAGCTGCTGAGAATATATGGTGGGAGCGCTGCTAAGGCAGGTAGTTATAAAGGTTTGTGATGGGTGTAGCACACGGGTCAGTGGGAGGGGCTAGAGATGAAATTTGCAAGTAAATGTGAAATCGGGTAAATGTTGACAAACGAAGCTGTGGGGGTGACTGAGTGAAGGGGATACGGCCCGGCTCGCTCGCTGCGGTCGGGGTTCGCCTGCTGCGCGGCTCTTTTGTTTTCTACCGGGGGGGGGCCGGTAGGGAGGCCCGACCCCGTGGCCGGGGCGGGGAACCCCTCCGCACTCAACCTCCCGGGGGGGCCTGGCCGAAGCACGGCCGGGCGCTGACACGGCGCGTGTGGCGGCTGCCCCCCGCAGGAGCATCGGCGTGCTGGCGTACGTGATGCTGACGGGCGAGTCCCCGTTCCTGGGCGAGGACAAGCAGGAGACGTTTCTCAACGTGGCGCAGGTGAACGTCAGCTACGACGACGACTCGTTCAGCAACGTGTCCTATCTCGCCGTCGCCTTCATCCAGACGCTGCTGCTCAAGGAGCCCGAGTAAGCCTTGCGCACTGACGCCACCGCCACCGCCACCACCCCCACCAGCAGCTCGGTGATTGTGGCTCGCGGGGCCGTGAAAACCGGGGCCCAACTCATGATGAATACAAAAAAACTTGATACTTCTCCGCTCGTTGTGAAGATGCTAAGCTACATACAGCCCCTTCCCCCACCCCCCGTGGGCTCCTGCGCCCCACGCGCTAGAGTACTCACCCACTGGCGAGTTTTCATTTCATTTCATTTATTTGGTATAGCCCTGTGAGCCATTCGGCTCTTGAATCAGGTGCAATCGCGCCATTCTTCTAGTGCAAGGCTATAACGAAGGAAGGCGCCGCTGTGTTTCACAGACACAGCCTGGATTAGATTGACGGGGGGGGGGGGGGGGGGGGGCAATGCTCCTGTATTTAGTCCCGAGAACTACGAAGGTACATTTTCAAATTTAAAACCGTGACGCATGCACACGAGGAACCCCTTACTCTTTTTGAATCGCATCGCGAGATCTTTAACATCCGCTGTGAAGCGTGCAGCGCTGTATTTGCGATTCGTAAACTTTCAATAATAAGCGCCGAACGCGCTGCTGCTGCTGGGACTCATCGCGTTCCCTGTCTCTCGACGTGCCCTGCGCCGCCCTGCGCCGCCTCACACGAGCTCCCGCGTGCCCGCAGGATGCGAGCCACGGCCGAGGAGAGCCTGCGCCACCCGTGGCTGCTGCCGTCGGACATCCCCCTGACGCTGCTGGGGCTGAGTCTGCACGACCCCGTCCCGCGTCCCGCCAAGCCCGGCGCGCAGAGCGACGCCGTCGGCCAGGCCGGCACGACGGGCGGCGCGGCACCCGAGGCAGCGGCGGTGAACGGGGAGGCCGGCGCGGCACCCGAGGCTGCGGGGGAGGCCGGGCCGGATGAGGACGCTTCCCCCTCGTTCCCCGGCGAGCAGAAGCCCATGTCGCGCTGCTGCCCCCTGGTGCAGAGCTGCCCCCTGGCCCACGACATCCAGAGAGAGATCGTGCTCTGAGGATGCCCCCCCCCCCCCACCCGAGTTGTTCGAGGAGCGGTAACCGCTTGAGCCGAATGGCCGGTGGAGGACTGGCGCCCGGGCCCCGTGCGGCCCGTGAGGCCGTGGCCGGCGTTGGTACGGATTGAGGCGCAGGGCGGCGGCGGCGGCGTGCGGGCGGAGTTGTTGCTGCTGCTGCTGCGCGGTCGTCTTTGTACCGCAAACGCCGTCCGCACCTCGGACTCTTGGCAGGCCGAACGTCCGCTAATCCGAGCAGTGTGTGTGTGTGTGTGTACGTGTCGTCACCGTTGATCGGTAGACTCCAAACGCGTTCTCTGTGCAGCAGCCGTCGGCACCAAGGGGCACAGGAAGCTGTGACGCCAGCAATATTACTTCTCACGCTTGATATAACAGTTTCAACCGAGTTGATTTCACCGTACCTCGGGGCACTTCCAGAGCACCAATGTCGGCGTTCTCTAATTCGTTTTTTGGAGGTGACACTTTGCAAAGCTATTTACAGCTCTTGTTTTGCACCGTCGTGTTTTGTTAAATTTATGCCGACGTTGGTAAATAAACTCTCAGATTTTCCTGAGACTTCACGGCAGAATGTCATCACAGTTGTCCATGTGTGAATGTCCCAGGTTTGCGTATCGTCAAATTAGTGGCTGTAAGCACAAGCAACGAATGCAATCCTCCACACATTCATAGAAGTAAATGCACACCTTAGCCTCAGTGAGGTCATTGTCAATTGCTATAAATGTTAAGTGACTGCAGTGAGATGTAATTAGTTATTCCATAAGAAATATACTGCACTTACCGTACGCCTTGATGTAATTACTTGTATGCCGAGCCTAAACAGTATCATCGGTTATAATGACTTCTATGGCAGATTCATGGATAAGCGTTACAAGTCGGGCCATCTGACCCCATCTTTGTACGTAGGATTTGTTTTATGGCAATATCGAAGCGGGACTCTTGCAATGTAAGTTTTGACGTGTAATAATCAACACACCTTTGTTGATGATGCGTGCACACTGCATGGTGCGACCGCCGTTAAACCACTCCATTCACTTTAGGGGGCACGCGCGCTTGAAACCCTGTATTAGAACTGCAATGTGTGGCCCTGCACAGAAATTAATAAAGCAAACAACGCTGGGCCGTGCATTGTTGGCACGTTGGCACGCAGGATAAGGCTTGAATTCAGGAAAGGGACAAACGAGTGCCTCTGATGAGTTGCAAATTGTGGCCAATTCTTAGAAGACTTGAAAATGGTTGTGTGTGCAGTTGGATTCTTCCAGATGAGACCAGAGCTATAGTAATATGTTTTTACCCTTTCAACTGGTACAAAAACTGACACCTTTATACAAGGCATCATGTTTGCAATAACCACAACACAAGCAGTCAAAATGCAAACAAAAAGAAACAACTCTGATGATATGCACTGTCCTTGAAGTTGATTGGTCCACACCCGAGACAGCTTTTCTTAGAGCCTAGTCTGAGACCAGAGCTGTTGGTCCCTCTTCACAGCTCCGACACACGGGTGCCACGGTGAGATGTTAACTACCTCGCCTGGTATACAGGAGGTCGTGGGTTCGATCCCAACCCTGACGCCTGCTGTATATTTGGAGTTTCCACGTTACTCTTCCCGTGGATTTTCTCCGGTTTCTCCCGCCACATTTAGAATGAACACACATTTCGAGTATTTGGCTGCTGTAAATTTCTATATGATAAGCCACTTCGTTGAGCTATCATTTGTGGCCAGGTCACTTCTGAACAAGTATAACCCGTAAAAACAAAGTTTTTCACTATAAATCCTTTATATGCGTGGCAGCGAACTTAATATAAAGGATTTAAAAATATATTTGCCTGTGGAGGACGCGGGGATCGATCCCGCGACCTTTGGCATGGGAAGCGAGGGCGCTACCAACTGCGCTACTCCGCCACGGCCTGTGGAGGGGTTACGCTCTGGGCTCTTATACTGTGACGTTCAGCCAAAGCCAAGAATGAGTTCTATTTGAATATATGTAAAATACATTTTTTTGACTAAAAAGTGTAAAATTTTGGGAATTTTTTTCACGAACATTAATTGTCTGGCACAACGAGTCTGTGTGGAAAATGTCAGCTCGATTGGATCACGGGAAGTGGGTTAAAAAACGACCGAAAGATTTGCACGGTCGTAAGCAAGCACGCAAGCATGCGAACTTAATATAAAGGATTTAAAAAGAGCTACATAGCTCAGTGGGCCTAACCTGTTAAAATAGAAATAGTATAGTAGTTTAGGGTTCTGCTTCTGCCACAAAACGATGTCATGATTTGCTCCTTCCCACGATTTGATCGGTTGCCAACATTCAATCCAGCAATTGATGTTTTCCCTCGTGATGCATGCAGCGACTTTAGTGGTATAAACATGTCGGAATTGATATGTCCACTGCTGGATGAAGGCCTCCCCTAAACCACCACCGCGATCCTAAGATGCAACAATCTGGCACCCGTACTCGAGCTGAATTCATCGCCCCATCTCTACGGTGGATGAGTCTCGGGCACGTTCCTTCCTCTGCCACTCCACTGGCCATCGGCCCACTCATGCGTTTCTCTTCCTGTATCGCAGCGGAGTTACGGACATGCCACCCCTCTATGCTTCTTCACGAATGTTTTTAGCTTTTGTTCCAACTTGCCGAACGTAGATGCCTGCTATGACAGGGATCATAAACATGGTCATTGCTAAATGGGTGCAAACGTACGACTCTTACATAATTGACGACAGATAGGATCCATTGCACGTGCATTGGTTGTGAGCATTTATTTTTAACTGGCGAGTTGTTGCATCCCAACTATTGCAGTACAGGATCAGTTTTCCGTACTCGTAATCGCAGTCGGGTTGCAGCTCTTAATGAAAGTAAAAACAAGAAAGTATATATATTTTTACATTGGTATCCACACTTTATTGCTTTTATCCATTAAATGTTTTTGTAAAGCTTTTGTTACGTACTTTGATAATAAAATATTATTGTTAACTCTGATTTTCAGCAAACGTTGTATCTTTTATTATGTAAATCAAAGCCAAGTACTGCAGCCATATTTAAGCCATCTTATTTTACCCAGGATGATGTCCTTTTACAGGGGACTCAGAGAAGTAAACGGATATCGCGATTGATTTTATAAATTGTGGGCATGCTTAACGTGGAATTTTAGCGACAACACCAGCACATTCGTATCATTGATGCTTGTTTGCTCAGGACAGCCTCGCCGAGTCTCAAGACTCTTTGCAGGAGGGTCCTGCCAGTGTCATTTATCAGACTTGAGACGTTTTGGACAATACCGGTTACATTGTCTTTACTGCAGCCAACATTCGTCGGTTGATTCCCCGTGGAAGTCAAACCATCAACTCTACCGCAATTCAGTCTTGACTGCTGCTTAATATTCCAGCACAGCCACCCAGCATCCGTGAACATCGCACTCCATCAAGGCAGCATGTTGACATGAAATATGCACTTGTATACTTTATTTATATTCATTTATAGTGACTTGCTTACCTTTTCTCTATTTTTGGACGCCAATCATTCTTTGTATTGTTTGGTGTACCTTGCTGACCTGCTCCTACTGGGCATCTGCGAAGAAGAGCTGCATAGCTCATTGGACTCCTGCAGCCTAAATAAATATTCTGATTCCGACATAAGCTGCCTTTAATCAAATAAATTAAACCATTTCATCGAACAAATGTAAATGTACAGGTTTTCGGTAACTGCTTATGTATAACCTCATTGCAGAGAATGCCAATAACTAAAATCTTAGAATTTCTATTCAACAATATTGTGTCATGCAATGTCCAGTACAAGTGGTGAGCTGCACAAAGCTCCTTCAAAGGAAATTCCTTCGAGTGCCATTCAAAGCAGTACAAGAACAAACAAAAAAACATTCCTTAAAGTGTTTTAAATGCAACTTTGTCGCAGGACTGCAACCAACGGGCGGTCTCCCACAAGCGGTAGTCAACCATCAGCTGAAGAAGTGACCCCGAGCACAAGGCCCTGAGTTTGACCCCGACCCGTGATGCCGAGCAGCACTTGAAGCCGTGATAACCCGTGAAACTGAACCCTCCGTGCAAGCTCCCTCGACGGCGTCGCTGTCATCTCCACGTCACTCCTCTGACTCCTCGGCTTTGCGCAGAATGGAGATGCAGCTGCCATTGCCCAAGCACAGCATCGCCTCCTGCATCTCCCACCTGCAAGGGCGGCACCAGACAAGGCCGTCAAGTGCCCCACAACCATCGGTGCATGCCTCTGAAGTTCACCACCCACCATCCCAACAAGACTCGCCGCCCACCATATTACCTTGCATTCTCTTTGGCCAAAAAGAGCCTTGGGAACAAGCATCCACGCAAACAAATGTGATCTCCTTGGCTAGCCACACACAGAGTCATGTACTCGCCAGCCACCAATTTATATCTGTGTCAGTCCCATCATAAAAGAAAGACACAGCAAAGACAAATATCAATTCTCGGGTTTTTTGGGTTAGAACGCGTAAATATAAATGTGTCATTAAACCCACCACCACCCGACACAACCAATTAGTAAGGTTTGTCACGTAAACAAAACATGCCAATTCGTACCAGTACAGCACACCGGTGTGTTGGAGAGTAAATCCACAATATTTACAATTTGAGTACGACGTTTCGCTTGTAATTACAGCTTGCATTATTAGGCGACAGCCAGATTTGTGGAGAAATCCTCCTGCGTCGTTCTTAAATAGAGGGATAGATGCCCTGTCGTCACGTGTGAGCCTCTCGCTTGGAGCTCCACACCTAAGTCACGTCCCAGGCTCTCGTGTTTTATACATTGAGGGAAAAAAAGTACTTTCAAATTACTTTCATTGAGTGACAGTGCAACAGGTGCAGAGGATTTTCTCGATGAACTGTCACCAAAATGATGCATCCCCAATTGAAAAATTCACTCGATTAGCATTCACCAGCACCGCCCCTTATCCGTGTAGCCCCGCCTCTTATCTCTGTAGCCCCGTCTCTTATCCGTGTAGCCCCGCCTCTTATCCCTGTAGCCCCGCCTCTTATCCGTGTAGCCCCGCCCCTTATCCGTGTAGCCCCGCCTCTTATCCCTGTAGCCCCGCCTCTTATCCGTGTAGCCCCGCCCCTTGTCCATGTAGCCCCGCCCATTATCCCTGTAGCCCCGCCCCTTATCCCTGCAGCCCCGCCCTCCCTGGGCGTTCGAGGCCAGGGACACTGCAGTGGTGGCCACAGAGTCCCGTTGAGGAGGTTGGAGCTCTCTCTCGGCTCTGCTCAATTGTTTACCTCAAAGTTGTTACGTTTCGTGGCCAAATCCTGCCGAAACGTGACCATGTGGTTGCACGAATAACATCCTCTCAGAATAACATCCTACCGCAGACATTGTGGGACTGGGATAGAATGTTGCGCTCCTGCGCGGCCGTCTGGAACGCTCTTCCTTCCGATATTAGGAAGCCACTGGAGCTATGATGCACTTTTAAATCATCGAGATTGAAAACTCGTTTCTTTAGAACTGCTTTTCGTGTTTGGTTTCTTGTCCTTTCTCCCACACCTCCCATTAGCACGGTTGGCTATGTACGGTGTGATAAAAGCTCAACATACTTACATGTTATTTGGATGTCAAAAAGCAGAAATGTGGTTGTTAAATCGTGAATAACTCTTTTTGGAGAGAAAGCACAATACCGTGATGCATTCCCATTCTCCGATCAGACTGAGACGGTGGTGAGAGTCGGCGTCGAGGTTGATTGTGTTTTATTTTACAGGTACGTTTAACGTTTGTGCGGCTGAGCAGGGCTATTCCCAGTCCAGTCGTTACAATCTGTACTGTTTTAGGCTGTAGCCTGGGTCAGATGGCCCACACCAGCCCGTGTTGGCGAGTGGGTTGTTTTAAATATTATTTTAGCGTGAATTTTGCCGAGGTTCGTGCAGCCAAGGTACAGTTTGGTCACAAAGGGAAACAGATTTCCGTTGCTGTCGGCTGTACATTGGGATTTACCTCCAGGGAAAGTATGCGGAAACGTACGTTTTGAGGTTAGGCGTGGGAATTTTTGGTCAAGGGAATACAAGGTGTGTGTGCGTGTGTGATATTGTTCATGCTTAAATTATTACATGTATTACGTTTGTGAAGGGCATCAAAGACGATCCGTTATTAATTCTTTAAATCACATTAAAGTATATGAATCGTTATATTTGCACTTTTTTGAGTTCACGTGCGTTTCGTTTACGACCGTTAAACACCTCGTTTGTGAGTCGTGCAAAATTCCTTCAGGACCCTGCTGTAGTCATTCTCTGCAATGTTCATGTCATTGTTTTGTTGCTGCTGCTGCTGTGCTTTGTTGTGTATGTACCCCCTTTTTATTTTTTTTAATATTATTTTTTTTTTAAGAATTATTCTGCCAACATAGATAATATCGTTTTTTTTAATAGACGCGGCCACGTGGGAACGAACACGCCCCCACACTTCCACAGAGGCCCCCACACTTCCACAGATGCGCGCATACCTCATTTCAAAGGAGAGAGGACATGAAAGGGGGGGCAATAAGGTAATAAAAAAAAACTCCCCTAAATTCACACAAGAGGAACAAGGGAGGGGGGGAATTGCAGGCGGGGGGTTGCATAACCAGGAGACACGGAGGAAGAGATAATTATATTCTTAACAAAGAAACAGCATCGACGACAAAAAGCACAGATGGGTCTTTGAACCATGTTAAATACACAAGTTACCAACTTAACCATAAAGATTAAGCAAACAGTATCCATCCTCACTCCAATTGAAAACCAGACGACAAAATTGCACCAGAATCGCGACCCATCATTGTTAATTAAGTACTGACATTATTTACCTTTAAAGAATATCTACACGGCCGGGCCGAAGCATCAAAGAATAATTATGGCATCTATTTCGCTCCAAAACAAAATTCCTAGCCGGGATATCAGATTAAATAATCACAAGAAGTCAAATAATAAGTACGGAATTAAAGTAGAAGAGGAATCAAGGGCGGAGAAGGCTCTCAAAATTAACCAAACACAACAACCCATGGGAAGCGAGCAACACGGCCGCCTTTGTCTTTCCGAGAGGATCTCCACACGCAGGCACAAAGCTAGGAAATGACACCCATAAAGGGGGCAATGGCTCAAAGGAAATTAACACGTCTTCGAATAAATAAGCGCATGCGCCGGGTGCTCCCACCGTGGAAACAACCGCCTTTGTCTCCCCACAACACGGACAAACACGCACGCGAAACACACGGACGGACACACACACGGACGCAGATGGTCCACCCCCACAGGAAGGTTTTATGACACAGCTTTTGAACAACTCGGGAAGCCGAGTGGAATTTTCCGATATAAACCGAAGGAAAATCCATACAACTCAGATCGACAGGGGCTCTGGCCCCCATCACAGATCTCCAGGGCTGTGGCTCCATCTCTCCTCGTCGCCGCCAACGAAGAAGCTCCTGTCATTCAGAATGACGAGGTTTGCGGAGTAGCGACGCGTAGCTACAAGCCGAGGTCTGCACCACCTGAGAAGAATCGCTACCCTGAGTCGCAGAGCTGCGAGTGAAGCCAACAAAGACGCCAACGTCCACCCTGCCACGAACGAAGCATCGCTCCTCGTCAGAGTGACGACCAGCGAACAACCCGCAGGAAAGGCGGAGATCGCTGAACGAGCGACAACGAGCGACACCTTGCGCCACCGAGCGACACCGAGCGACACGAGCGACCGAGCATCTTCAAGGACAGCATCGTGCCAACTCGTCATCTAGCAGTAGAAAGAGAGAGCGCACGAGCAGCACCAAGCCCCGGAACCATCAAGCGCCAAGCAAGCAAGTTTCTTCAAGGAACATCGTGCCAACGCCGCTCAATCCAGCAGTGGAGAGAGAGAGAGAGAGCAAAAGCCGAGCGACACGCCGAGCGAGGGAGCAGCAGGAGCTGTTCGTATCCTACCACACCACACAAGCTAACGACACAATTAATATTACGAGGGGACAACGCACACACAGCACGCACACGAATAAGACTTTAAAAGAAAAACTGTCTTTTCGTTTCAAAAAGGGTGGCCATTTCGAGGTGGTGCGTTCAATATCAACTGATCGTGCAAAGCAGTTGCTGCCGTCGAGTTACATAAATGCATAAGAGTTTTCGTTATTCATATTGCATAATTGCATAATGTCACAACTGCATAAGTTTTTGTCGTTCATATTAGTTAATTGCATAATCTTGCCCATGAATTATTGACGCATGTTTGACCTGCATGATAGAATGTCACGTGCTTGTTAGAATAAAATTGTAATCCAGAAGCATATCGAGTGTTCCTTCCAAGTCCATGCAAAACTGTCTTATTCTTGACAACTGTATCCTGTGATGAGATATGAAAATGGAGACCTAAAATATTATAACACACACTAGGATAATCGGTAAATGAATCTATGATAATCGTGTTATCCTGATTGATAACTCTGGATAAACGAAACTAAGCAAATTATCATAACTGCACACATTAACATAATCGCAAGCCTCCGCATAAATTACTACGATTATCATAATTTATGCATATAATTACACGCATTATCATAATTTATGCGTATTAATACACACACTATCATAATTAATGCGATTTGCGCATTTTTCGGAAAATTATTAATTTTTATTATTTTCATCAAAATTTCATAATCACAACACATACAACATAATGGGGGCTCGTCCGGGATCTCTCACAGACAGTGTTTTGCATGGATGATGGAATGAATCACTTCGTGTTAACCAGAATATCAGGATCGAACATTGCATGGTAATTGTGAAGTATGGACAATTGTGAACGGGCGGAAAACAAAAAACGCCCTCTAAGGTTAAAACCCAGAATAGCAGGTTAAAACAGAGACAGTGGAATTAAGATAATATCGTATCAAACCAATTGCATCCTGTGATAAATGGTGTTAGAGGTACGCACTCTGAATCGGAAAATAACAGATAGCTCGAGTCGAATTGACTACACTCTGTGAGATAATTGTTTTATATGCACTCTGAAAGGGAATGTCAAAGTAACTCCCGCCACACCTTGAGATGCTGGGATTAAGAATAATTTTTGAATGGGTTACGGGATACGGGGAGCTCGTATTTAAACGTACCGACCAATCTGTTACAAAGCAGTACAGTCAGAGAGACATATGGGAAGGGAGCTGTATCGATAACACGAACACACCTCG